GCACACTAAACAATTTAAGGCATGAGTGTTTCAAAAGGTGCGAACAATCACGTTATACCCCAAACATGGTTTAGCACGCCAAGTTCACTCGAGCAAACATATGTGGTGCACTAAAAAATCACCCAAATTCATATTTCAGGACACAAAGCTTACCAAACTCTATGTGATAGCAACAAAAGTGGCAATAACATGCAAGGCATGTTACAAATGCTATGAACACATCAAATGCAACATGCAAAGAACTCAAAATGGGCCAACCAAAAGGCATATAGTCTGGACAGCTAGTATCGGTCAATTAATCGATTTGTCTAATTAGGTATAACCAATCAGACCAAACAATATTGGGCGACCAGACGCACTGGCGGCAGTCGATCCGACCAATATCAATCGACCAATTAAGTCATCTTACAAAGTATAACTTATCGGACAAAACAATACAAGGCGACTAATTGCGCCATCCTAAAGCTGGCAGTCGATCTGATCGTATTGGTCGACTGATCAATGCTACCAATGAAGGACAATAAATCAGACCAAACGATATCAGGCGGCCAGTCGTACTAATCTAAAATGGGCGGCCGATCCAATAAGCATGCGAAATTAACCATTTTATATGCACAATTTTTTTTAAAAAAAAAGAGCAAATGCAAACCTGCAAAAACACCCAATCGTATTTTTTGGCAAGCCAAAATGTTCCTAGCTATCTCACATAGAAGCTAGGGTTAGTAATGGAGAGGTGTACCAATGCCTTAGTACGCGAAGCAACAAGACACCCACCTTCATTTTCCCAACATAAAATAGAGGGCCTCTCATGAGGAGGACTCTCTACGACTGAGGTAAAGATGACCAAGGAAATTTCTTTATCCTCTTGGCCGGTTGGCTTTAAATATTCATCCAAATGAAGCCATCAAAACAAACAATGAGATTAGTACAACCTTGACTTCGGGATTTAGGGCTAGGTTTATGGGGAATCACTTGGGTTTGTAGGGGTAGTCCATGAAAATGGATCCCTAACCTATCAGCTTCCTCTAGCACAAAATCCTAGCCCTATATTTTTTAACATCCATAACTAGGGGGCTCTAGGAATGAAAATTTGCAAGGGAATTAGAAATTTCACCTACGTAATGTTTGAGGAACTGTGATCTCAGCTTGCTCCTTGCTCCTTTCTCCAACCTCGCTCCTTGCTTCAACCTCGCCCCAGAAAGATAGCTCTATTATCTTCTCCAAAGATGTTAGAAACTCTCCTCTTTCACAGGAGAGATGATTATCTCCTTCAAATAGCTCCTATCAAGGCCTTCAAAGCTCCTTCATGCTCTATTCTAAAAATTAGTGAAGTCATGATAAAGAATCAAGTGGAGCGGAGATTTAATGGAGGAAGATGAAGAAGTTAGAGGAAGAAGAAGAGATTCTCTACTTGACTTGAGCTTTCCTCTCCAGGATTTTTTTTCTTTTCTCTTCTTCTCAAGGCTTTCTCTCTGTTTGAAAATGCAACATATCTCTAGAGAAGAATGATCAAGATTCTCTACTCGACTTCTCCTCTCCCAGCTCTCTCACTCCTCTTGGCCTCTCTGGTTTGAAAAAAGGAAAAAGCCCCTTTCTAATGACTCTTCTCCTCTCTTTTGTTTGTTCTGCCTAGACAAGAGTCCACTCCTGCGCAACGTATATTCTCTGATTGATTTCCCTGCTCGACACAACCCGGGGAAGCATCCACCTTGCTACAAAATGGCAAGCCTTGATATGATCTCCCCTTGATTTGCCTTGACACCTTCCATAAGTTTTCTAGAAACTATACAAAAGTTTCCCTTAATGGTCCCCTTCATTTCAATTAAAACACCATGTCACAATGGCATTTGACATAAAGAAATAGGTTGGGTGTATACATTTTATGGAAAGAAATGGTTTGTGCATATGAGCCAAAGATTGGGCAAAAATGCACTCGTTTACTTGGTTTGTGGCAATTGATTTAGTTGTTGACATCACTTTTGTGAGGACTCAACTCACATACTTGTACATGACCCTAGCAAGGATTGTGCTTTCTTGGACCTCACTAATGTCCAAGCCCCCAATCCTTGGTTAAGTGGGTTTAAGGTTTTGACCAGGAAAGGAACCAAATTGACCACAAGGGGCTAAACATGCCCTAAGTCACCCAAATCCGCCCAAAACACTAGGAACTTGCCTATGGACCGTAGGAACCACCGTGACCACCAAATCCATAATGGGAGAGGGGTCTACCTAAATTTATCCTTAACCTCACCAAAGGCCTCCCTAACTCTACCAAACCCTAAAAATCACACCAACCACTAATGTGCCCTGTTGAACCCAAAATTTGATGGCACCTTGAGATGGCCAAAACTAATTAGGCTTAACAGTAATTTAGCCAAATATTAACCAATTGACCACTGCCCTCCAATTGGGCCTCACACCACATGACCATGAAAGACCATCTAGTGAGCCCAATTGCCATGAGGTCAATCCAATTGTCATGGGTCAACCCCCATAGTTATTTTAATTAATTAATTCAAATTTTATATAAAGTTTTCTTAAGGCTTAGCTTAAGAAGAAAATCCAACCCAATTAGCCTAGTTCCAACCCTAAGTCTCATGGCCCATGGCCCATTCTTATTAAGTCACACATGACCCAATAGCCACATAGCATGACAATGGGTGACTCATCAAGCCAAATCAACCTAAACTCACCCTTAATTGGTGCTTGTTACTATTCATCATGACCCATCATAGGGGAGGGGACACAAGTCACCATACATGCCATCTAGCCCAAGCCACCGTGGACCAACCTTTTCTGAGTCAAACCCAATCATCCATGACCTATTTTATCCACCTAAGGAGTCTTCAATCATCTTAGAGCCATCTCACAAACTTCCCCCATCTCCATGCACATTGTCATTGCCAAAGATGTCAAGATACCATGTAAACATGTACAATTTCACCCTCACTGCCCAAAAATCCTCTAGAATTCCTCTAAAACTCTCTAAGGAGCCGCCTAGGCTTCTTCAATCATCATAGAGCTCTCCCATGGCCGCTCATGGATACTTAAGGAAGGAACACGAGAGCATTGAATAAAGACCAAGCTCCTTATCTAGCCTCCTAAACCTCTGCCTCTCAACAGAGAAAATCTCCCTCTTAAGCAGCGTAGTTAATCCCTGGTCGACCCCACCCTAATTCATGTGCTCTAGTACTTGTGACTCTCCCCCAAGTATGTTTATCGATCAGTAATATCTGATTTTCTTGAGTCCAGAATATCGATCCCGCAGGGATTGAGGGGTTAACACCTTAAGATAATTTCAAGTCTACTAAAACTAGTTCTTAGCTTGGAACTTAGATTAGGTTGAAGATCAACAAACTGACACTACAGAGTTGTGATCAATTGTAAATGTTAAATCCTACAACAACCTACTTAACTTACTTGAATTGGTGATTATTAAGATGTAGAACTACCCTCCCTTGCAATGATATAAATAGTGTATAGGAATATAATATTTTGAATTGAAATTGTGGATAGTAACAAATAGGAGCAATTCTAATCTTTACTCTCTCCCAAATGCATAATGAAGTTTGGCTAAACTAGTAATAATTCCTTAAACCCCAATTTAAACCCACCAAAGATTATTTCTCTATCTATTTGCATTGCCCTATGGACTACTTTTCCTTCAATGACTTGTTCAACGTAAATACCCTAATTGTTTCTCCATAGCTCTCCAAAGTTATTATGGATCACAACATGTTTTAACTAATCATTTGACCAGAATGAAAAATAAATTAAGAATGGAAGACTATTCATCGCATTAAAGATGTAAAACCAATTCTAAAATATCCTACAATCCTACACCACATACTTATTCATCGGAAG